CTCTCTCTTTTCCTATAATCCTCTCTCTGTTTTGCAATCCGGCTCTCTTTTACTCGTAAGGACCTGTGAAAGTCAGAACTGGCGCTAACTCGAGTCCACTAACGGGCAATCAGATCTCTGTTGGGACAACAAACTGTTCCATCGTCCCCTGTGAGCGGATGCCGACGCTCTTGTATGGCTTATTTATCGAAGAAGTTTCCGGGGGTTAAACAGCAGTAAATCTTTCTTCCCTTACCGCCCGTCTCCACTGCGTCCCGCGGGAAAAGGACACTGTGACTTAATTGCCAAAACTGGATACCATACTCTTGATTGAGTAATGATGATATATTAAGTTGAGAGACTAAATAATGAATTTATTTAGTCGCCAAATTTTGAACTTCATAGTGAAGTAGATGCGCAAACATCAGTATTACAAATACTTTAATACGTGTAGTTGCACTGGGATATTTGAGATATGCGCGTTATGTTTATAAATCGTTATTAATGGTTATTTCGTTATAAATCGTTATAAATCATTATTTGAAAAGACGTGCCTTTATTTAAGTATATATAAATTTTTATTTAACAATGACATACATTTAAAATTATTAATAATAATTGTTAGTTTGCTCAAAATTTAATAAAAAGTTGGTTTTTTAATTATATAATTTTTATAAAATGTATCAATTGTATCAATTTTTTTATTTTTCTAATCAAACAATAAAGAATAAAAAAAAAATTTAACTGTTTCAACTAACGTGCATTATCTGTGATAATCTTGACAATAATTTATCTTGACAATAAGACACTGCTACGTTTCCTGATAATATATAGTTATTTGCAATAATGCATTCTTATATAATTGTTACTTAATTCATTATATAGTACAATGATTTTAATGTAATAATTATATACGCGAATTGAAAAAATGCAATGGCTTAGAGGTGTTAAAGATGTTTATATTATAAATATTATACACATATAATTTTTAAAAATGATAATTAAACATATATATTATATTATATTAAGCATCAAATATAGATGCATATGTTCCATTTAACAATGTTCATTAGCAATGTATTAAACATTTTAAAAATTTACATTGGCAAATTTTCATTATTAGCAATTCAAGTTTACCATTCTACATAGTATAAGACACTACAAGATGCGTGATATCATTATAAAATTATCTTTAAAAAAAATAAAAATAAAAAAGATTGTCAAGTACAGGCACATTTTTTGAATAGAAAGCTATTGTACCACATAAAAAAATAAAAATAAAAATCCAAGTGATATTACTTTTTTTCATTAAAAGAAATGAAAACCCGAGTGGTACATATCTTTATACGTATCTTAGAAACATAATCACAAAACAATATCGCAAAATACTTCGCCTAACTCAACCTAAGTATATGTAGATTATTTTATTTAAAGATTTGATATCAATAACTGACCAAGTTATACTTCTATAGAAATTGCGTTACCTTACTCAATCCAAGTGATATATAAAAAAAATAATACTCAAATGTACAAGTGTATCTTTATATTATACGCAAGCTTCTTCAAGACTCTTTGTATTTCAATCCAAGTGGTAGTAGCTTTTACTCTTTTTGAAAATATAATTATATCATAAAATTGCATTATCTTACTCAATTTAAATGTTATCACAATAAATTAAAGAGATAACAATACTAAATTAAAAAAAATTTAATTCAACGAAATACTTACATTAAAATACATTTAGCGCTGTAAGATGAAATATGCCGAGTTGGTTTAAGAGTAAAATTTAATATACAGGGTGTTTCAAAAATAGTTGGCTAAACTTTAAGAGCATATTCCAATCATAAGAATGAAAAAAAAATCATATAAACATGGGTTTGGGAACGCTTCCTTTCCTAGTTATAAACATTTCTTATTTACATTGTACGTATTTACGTCGGACGACATGCCTCGTTTCGACGTTTCATGAATTGTACTTTCATTCACCTTCTAAAGTAATCAAAAGGTTATTAGATAGGTCTGTATAATGGATTTGGAATCAGTCTTTATTTAAGCATTTAAGAGTAAAGATAGTATTCATCAACATGGCAGCTTATTCTAACATAGAATCCACTATTTGTATGGGCGAGCTAATGGAAACTGCAGAGAAGCTCAACGTCTTAATAAACAAATGTTTCCTCAAAGCGATGCCGCTAAAAATGGGATGCCCTGCGGAAGGAAATAATTTCCAGCAATTTCTGTAATGAAAATATATGTATAAGTAAATATTTATAACTTGAAAAAAGGGTTGATCAAAATTGTTTAAAAAAAAAACTAAACATTTAGTTTTTTTGTTTAAAACGTGTTTTTAATGCTGGACATATGTTTTAAACAGCTTTAGAAAATAACATATTTAAAACAATTAAAAAAACATGTATTAAACATATTTGTAGTATTAATTATATAAAATTATATTTAAGATATAAATATAATAATTTCTTAAGGTTTAATTTTATTTTTATGTGTAAATTTTCGATAATCGGTAATATTGGAAATGTCGGGATATATAATATATTGCGTTGTATAATTGCATTTATATTGATAGTGTTGCCAGTTACAGATCGTATTACGAATGGGGATATTACTATTTTATAAGTATATATTAAACAAATATATTATTTTGAAATATATTTTAGTTTATGTTATTTAAAAGTTATACAGTTTTGTGTTCTATAATTTTATTTAGTTTACAGTTACACAACGTATATTTTACGCGTATAACTTAAGTAGCGACCACTAATCATATAGTGTTATTCCTGATCAAAAATTGAGTCAAAAAGTTTTGAGCCATTTTTTTCTACAATTTTTAATTAAGCAGTTATTCCCGAGTTAAATTAATCCAATCGATGCCGTTCTTTAGACGGGCGCACA